AGACCAGCTCTCCAGGTCTCCAGGTAGGATAAGAAGCTACCAAGAGCCAGGTGGTGGTGGCACAAGCCTTTAATCCTAGCACTCGGGAGGCAGAGGCAGGCGGATCTCTGTGAGTTCGAGGCCAGCCTGGCCTATAAAGTGAGTTCCAGGAAAGCGCGTGCAAAGCTACACAGAGAAACCCTGTCTCTAAACCAAAAAGAAGCTACCAAGAGCATTCTCAATTTAAGCTGGAGTTGTGGGCATAAGGGTAAGCCCCAAGAACATGGAGAAGACAAGGATTAACAGACTGAAACTGACTGATACACATAGAATAGCAGAGATGCATCCTTGAAAATAGCCGAAGATATCTTTATAATAAACTAAAATTTCGTAAAATGACCATCATTAGTTATTACCTTTAATGCATACTCTCTGCCACTTCCCAGATCTTGAGCTTCATAAACAAATGCGAACCCTCCTGAAAAAAAAAATTGTCAGTCAGTGCTATGACTTAAACTTAGAAATACCTTTACAAACCAAATTTTGGCCATGGATAGTCATTGCTTCCTACAAAAGACTGCAGCCCAATTTCTATGTCATAGCCCTTTACACCTTCTGCTCAGAGATAGGTAGGGAAAGTGTAATTCAGATCAGCAAATAGAAAGAAACAGGAAATCTGCAAAACTGAAATCAAGTACCCTGAAAACAAATAAGTAAAACTGATGAATTCTGTCTGGGTTAGCAAACATCAAAGAAGGCTAATGCAAACAGAAAAAAATGTCAACACCCAGAGGAAGAAAGTAGATTATGTTGCCCTGACATTCAAAGAGAAAAAAACTGACCAATATCACTCATACAGATGGATCAAAGTACTCAGTAAGTTTGTGATGTTTTGGTTTTTTAAAACAGGGTCTTGCTATGTTGGCTCTGAATTTACATTCTCTCCCTCAGCCTCCCCAATTGCTTCATTTAAACTGACAGTCCCATCATAAAATTTAAAACTGTCAGCAAACCAGGACTAGAAAGAAACTTCCTCATCTTATAAAAAGAATCCCTAAAGGACCAATAGCAGCAGTGTTAGTGGTAAAATGAGAACAGGAAGAAGGTCAAGGTGCATATTCACATCACTGATACTCAATACTATATAAGAGCCTTTTGCTAACGCAATCAGACAAGAAAAAGAAAATCAAAGGCATCCAGATCACAAACGAAGTAAAGATGTTTTTATTTGCAGATTAAAGTAATCTTCTAAGTAGCAAATCTGGTAAAATCTCAAAAAGGAAAGAACAGGGAGCAAAGAGAGGAGGACGGAAGGGAAGAGAAGAAAACAGAAGAAAAAAGGCAGACTGGCAAGATGGCCCAGTAGATAAAGGAACTTCCCACCAAGCCTGACAACCCAAGCTCAGTTCCCAGAATCTGCAGGATGGAAAGAGAGAAGTGATTGCTGCAAGTCATTTCTGTGACATCCCTCTGCCCTCCCTGCAAGAAAGAGAAGGGAGAAACAAATGAACTATAACTAATTTAGGAAGGCTATAGGATACAAAAACAGGATACAAAAATCAGAGGCTGGAGAGATGGCTCAGCAGTTAAAAGCACTCTTGCTCTTGCAGAGGACCCAAGCAGCCACATGGGTGGTCATAACCTTCCTTAATTCCAGTTCCTGGAGATTGGATGCCCTCTTTTGACCTCCACAGGTACCATGGATGCACACAGTGCATACATACAGGCACAGTCATACACATAATATAAATTTTAAAAAAATCAGTGAAGACTTAGAACAAATTCCAAAATGAGTAGAAAGCTATCTGGCTTTATGGTTCTGCCTAACAACTTATTTCATACTCCAGCATTAATAAAAACTATGACAACAAAGCATGGTGTCCCATAAACTCCTCTGTGAAAAAAACCTGATATAAACTGATAGGAGAAATTTGCCTACAACGAGAATATTTATTCATTTACTTAGATACATAGCAATATATTTGACTATAGACATTTTTCTCAACCCCTCTTAGCATCCCATGATATAAGGTCATGCCCTGAGTCATCTTTCTGAACTTGAAGAATTGTGAAGCTAAGAGCCTTCCTTATATTCTTATAAGACAGCTTGAATCCCAATGGCCCATGGTCTACAGCCACCGTTCAGGAAACTCGTTTAAATAATCTATGTAAAATACTACAGATTTCTTACTGTCTCAATTCAGAAAAAAACTTAAAATACCACATTAAGTCTAAAAGGAAGAAATCTATGGCTTATAATTGCATTGGTTATTTTTATTTCTGTCTGGGCCAGAGAGCAGACAGAATGAGCTGCTTTTTACAGACAGTAGCTGCCCACACTTCCTGGTTTTTCATCCTGGGTTCTATGTGGCCTGGGCAAGCTTCTTACTTCACACAAATCTCCCTCTCCTGCCAATCAGGACCACCTCACACCAGAGACTGCCTCTTGCCCTCACCCCTGACCCTACAGCTATCTTCTGCTGGCCCTTTCTATAGAGGCAGTCCTCCCAGCTACCCTAGAATTCATATGGTTTATTCTACTGCCCCATCCCCAAGTTGCCTCTTCATTCTAGTATCTGAACATAAGTCTTATTTTGCATTCCATATGAAAGGAAACCAGGTCTGCCTCTTCTCTTCCTCTCTCCCTTCTCAGTTTATAGACTGAATCCAGGGCCTCATACATGTTAAGCAAGAGCTATATCACTAAGCTATATCCCCTGCCCTTTTCACTTTTTGAGACATCATCTTACAAACTTGCCCAGGTTGGTCTTGAATTCTACCTGTAGCTCAGGCAGACCTTGAAGTTGGAATTTTTCTGCCTCAGACTCCCAAGACACTAGGATTATAGGCCTGTGACATCACTCCAGGGCTGAATTTCTTAAAAAATGAAGGTAATTGCCTGGTATCTTTCAGAATGAACAAACCGATCTGGTATCATCTTTGTCATTGCAACATCACATATCATACACACTGTTAGTGGAGGTACTAAATCCATCTCTGAAGGGAAAAGCGCCAGAGGTCTTCTCACCAAATCACATTCAAATCTGTTTACATCCACAGTGGAGAATATATGTGGCAAAGCTTCTGTCTGCCCTACCATAGTAAAGAACGTTGAACAAGTTCCCTGCTCTCATTAAGCACAAATGGCACAGACAACCTCAGCGGGATGATTCTCCAATTCTGAGAGCTACTTCAGACTTGGGTCAGGCCACTTTTCTCCCTGAACCAATTTGGCAGAACATAACTATGTTTAGCAGGCAAACGTCACAGCTACTGAGACCTGGCACACTCCATGGTAATAATGGGAAAAAAGGGCACAGTGGCTGAAGGAATGGCTCAGAAGTGAAGAGTATTTGTTGCTCTTGTAAAGGAGAGGAGCAGCATTAGATTCCCAGCACCCACATGGAGGTTAACAACTGTCTATCCAGTTCTAGGAGATCCAAAGCTCTCTTCTGGCCTCAGCAGGCAACAAATACAGATGATGCCCAGAAATACAGGCAGGCACCCATGCACATAAAAAGAGAGAGAGGGAGGAAGAGGAGGGGAGGGGAGGGGAGGGGAGGGGAGGGGAGGGGAGGGGGGAGGGGGGGAGGGGGGAGGGGGGAGGGGGGAGGGGAGGGGAGGGGAGGGGAGGGGAGGGGAGGGGAGGGGAGGGGAGGGGAGGGGAGGGGAGAGGAGAGGAGAGAAGAGAAATCATAGAAGACAGAACAGGGTTCCACAATACTGATTACAGATCCTGTGTGAGGAACAGAGAGAATGTTCAGGAAGCTACAAACTAGACTGACTTCAAGACACATGACTGTGGCATTGTCTATCAAGCAGGTTCTTAAAGGTTACAGCTACTGGCTTTGCTTCCTGTAACTTATAAGAAGTCACATACAGAAAGATTCCAGAGGTGAGGCAAACACTAGGGCTGTAAGAGAAAACGAGACTACAAGGCCCCACTGTCTGTCCTCTCCCTCACCAAGCTGGGGGAATTGCTTATGGACTGTAGAGTTCCTCAGAACTCAGGAGCACAAGCACTGACATCCCTTGGTGCAACAGCAACCCTGGATATGATATAAAGAATAATAGCTTATGACCCCAGAGTGAGTGGACTCACCACTTGACTCAACCTTTCAACCTTTTGAACTTTTTTATAAGCCCCAGGCACAGCATTGGCCCCAGACAGAGGTGGTCCCTCCAGTTCCAGGCCTCCTTTACTGGACAACCACCTGCTAGCATGACTCTTATACTAACTCTACCCTCCAGGAAGTGTTTAACCCAGACGCGGCCTACATTCAGTAATCACCTCCGAAGGCCCTAACCTACAGGCCCCTGTGGTCACTCTGCCTTGCCAGGTCCCACTCCCACCTGACTCACACCCCAGCAGTGTCGCTCCACAGCGATGACCCGATCCACATTCTAGCAGTGACTATTCCCACTGACCCTGCCCACAGAGATGACTCTCCGAGGCCCTGAAATGACCCACACCGTAGTAATGATTCTCCGGGGCCCAGACTCGATTCATACCCTGGACACGATCCATCTAGCTGCCCCTGCCCAAAGCGGTGACCCTCATGCGCTCTGACTTGAACCACACCCCAGCAGCGACCCTCCCTGGCTGCTCCTGCCTCCCGCGGCCTGGCGACGCCTTACACCTCACCTTCTGCTAGGACCCGCCGCACCCGCAGACGCAGCTCGCCCAGTTCCACCGTCTGCCCCACGAAGTCACTCTGGTCACGGCTAGCAGCTCCGCCAAGAGAACCAGGGCCCGCCAGGAAGTCCAGCGCAGACTGCAGCAGTGACATGGCGACGGCCGCTCAGCGGCAGCGGGAGCCAGGCTCCGGCTCCGCACTGCCGGGTCAGCAGCTGCTGGAGAGCAACCCGGCCATCTTCCGCCCGCGCCGTGACGTGAACCCGAGAGCAAGTTGCGTCGCGACGCCGCGGCCCCACCCCGACGCAGCAAGCGGAAGGGCGCGTGTTTCCGCAGAGCCAGCAGGATGCGCAGGCGCACAGGCTGCAGCCCCATGGGTGTCAAGCTTCCGAGAGGTGCAGAGAGGGGCGGTCGCTATCTGGCCCTAACCTCGTCCCGTCGCTTCTGCTGGCCCGAGTCACGACTGCTTTCGCCGGGTCCAGCCTCCGTGGCTGGGGCGTCGCGGGACGTTGGGCGCGTGCAGCGGACCGTCCCAGAGCCCGCCGCTCGCGCCTGACGCCTCAAGGTAAAAGCGAGGCCTGGAGCCCACCCTAGGGTCGTAATGCCCGATTGGGGAGAGGAGGTTTGTCTATCAGACAAGCAGCCAGCCTGATCCACCGACACGCGTCCTTATGTTTTGGCCCACACAGGTATGGGGGAGGATGAACTAGTTGCTAACATTAAGACTGAAAAACGTTAAGTTTAAAAGAAAAAAAAAAAAAACAACTTCACAACGTGTGTAGAAAAATCACCTGGCAGTACTGGACCCAGAATCCTGTGTGATGTCAACCACCTAGAGCTGCCCACTTTAGGTGAGACAAAGTCATGGGGTTCCCACCCATCTCCTTACCTCTGTGGTTCCTGAAGCCACGTGAGGTTTTAGCCCCTTGTGTAGAGTATGTGTTGTGGGACTAAAAAGTTGATCTTCAAGCTCAAATCAACATCTTAATCTTCCCAGAATTGTATACTATTAAAGATACCTTTGGAAACTACCTGCTCTAAAAGTCAGGTAGAAAAGAAATGAAAGATGATCATTAGCCATAGTGAGGTAGGTAGTAGGTGACCAGCAGTTTCATGAAAATGGTGAAATGGAAGCTGTGGATCACACGTGGAGGAATAAAGTGATGAAGTGGAGATGGTACCTGGAGGTAACTGAGGGGTTTTATAGAGAAGAATGTGGGAGCTAAAAGGGCAGTGTGGTACTGACATGTCCGTAGATGGGAGCCATGAGCAGCCCAAAGGTAGTGAAAGTTAACCCTTCCTGGTATAGTAGAGAAGAGTACTGCCCTTTAGAATAGCAGGACAGTCAAGTCTATACCACTCGGGCATATTCCCAAGGAATGCTCAATCATACCACAAGGGCACATGCTCAGCTATGTTCATAGCAGCATTATTTGTAATAGCCAGAACCTGGAAACAACCTAGATGCCCTTCAACTAAAGAATGGATAATTTCTCATATTTTATAGATTATTTTTTATTTTCTTTTGAATCACAAAAGGTATTGTTGATGAAGCCCAACTTTAGTATTTATTTGCTTATGCTTTCTTTTTTTCTATAGATAGGGTCTCTCTACATAGCCCAGGCTGTCCTGGAACTCACTATATAGAACAAGCTGGCCTCAAACTTGAAGAGATCTGCCTGTGTCTTGTCTCCCAAGGGACTAAAGGTGTAGTCCATCATGCCCAGATTGTTGCTTATGCTTTTTAGTGCCATCTTTAGAAATCTTTGGCTGTAGCGATTTCCCCCAAACTTTCTTCTAAAAGTTTAATAGTTTTTAGCTGTTAAATTTAAATTTTTGCTCCATTTGAATTGATTTTGTTGTGGTTCTTTGGCATGTGGAAATTCAGTTGTCCCTACACTATTCGTTGAAAAGACCATTCTTTTCCCTATTAAATAATTTCTACTCCCTTGTCAAGAATCAAAAATCAGTTAACCATAGATGTTTGATTTTATTTCTGAACTTCGTATCTCTGTGCCAGCACTAGGAAAACATGAGTCTTTTTCTGCTTGTCAGTGGATGAGCCGATAGAGGTACCTTTTACACAGTGGAAGTATGACAGCAGTAAAAAGAAGTGTGTTGTGATGTTCTCAGGAACATGGTGAATCTCAGGTAGCAGAAGCCATACTAAAAAGGTCACATAGTATGTGCCTGAAGCACAAGACATTCTGGACATGGCAAAGTAGCAGTAAATAGCAGAAGCACTAGCATCCGTCACACCAGCATCTGCCAAGTGCTAAGGTCTAGCCATGGAAAGCTTGGAAGGGCTAACTGAGGATGGAGTACCCTTCAGTCTTTATCTTATGAGTATAGATGTTTTGCCTAAATGTGTGTCTGTGCACCATATGCATGCAGAGCCCACAGAGGCCAGAAGAGAGCATCAGAACTCCTGGTACCAGTTACAGATAGTTGTGAACTGCCATGTGGGTCCTGGGATTTGAGCCCTTGTCCTCTGAAAGAATAGCTAGTGCTTTTCAACCACTGAGCCATCTCTCTAATCCTTCAGTCTTGATGGTTGTGGTAACACAACTGTGTGTATTCCTCAGCAACTCAAGAGAACTGCACAGCAAAGGCATGGTTTGACTGCATAATCTAAAGCACTGATTCTCAACCTGTGGGTTGTGATCCCTTGGGAATTGTTGAACTACCCTTTCACAGGGGTCACCTAATACCATAGGAAAAATTCAAGTATTTACATTATGATTCATAATAATAGCAAAATTACAGTTATGAAGTAACAGTGAAAATAATTTTATGGTCGAGGGCCATTGTAATATGAGGAACTATATTAAAGAATCGCAGCATTAGGAAGGTTGAGAACCGCTGATTTAAAGAGTGAGCCTTAAAGAGATACAACAAAAAGCCATGTTGCTACCCAATTCCTGCCCTTGCCATCCAGGTAACCACCTGCTTATCCTGGAGCTAATAAATCTGTTCTTTGTGTTTTGTTTGTAATACATATTTTCATTGTCATGAACAAGGAAGATGACATAGAACTTACCTTTTTGCAACTGCTTTTTTTTCCTTCTCAGCATTTTGTTTTAATTATATCTCTGGATTCATATGTAGGGTCCTCACAACATTAATGGCTTAATAATAACACCTATTTTTTACTTTTTTGTTGTAACAAACCTTGATTTAGTGCAGATTCATCTGTGTCCCCTCAGATTCAGCTCCTCCCCTGTAAGGGTGTTCATTGCGCCTCTAGAGTTGTTACTAACTGCCAGTTCAAATATGACTCTTGTGGTTCCCTAATATATCAAAGTATCCTCCTCACATCCTAGCTAGCTCTTGACTGGGGATCTGTACCATTTTAATTGATACCTAATTGCTTTCAGTTGTGTTTCCTTGATTACTAGTAAAGGTGAATTTTTTTCTTTCTTTTGCAGTGCTGGAGATAGAACCCAGGACATCATATGTGTAAGGTAGGCTATCTCCCACTGAGCTGTACTCAGCCTGAATGCCTTATATATATTTGTTTGCAACTTATTTTTTTCCTATCTGAAAATTGCTAGTTGCCTTCTTTTATCCTCCTCCCCATTTTTTTATGTATCATCTTGGTGAAGGCTTGTGCTTGATTGCTAGAGGAGCATGCCACATTACCCCCTTGCCTCTGATTATGTGGTACCTGATGTTAGGTCAACAGCATCCTCTTCAGAGTACACCCAGTCAGTCATACTTTATGATAACCTTGTTTCATTACTAAAGGGCTTGTGCTTGTGACCACCCTTGCTAAAGCTTCACCTTTCAAGTATCCTGGCTCCTACTTTCCCATCCTCCCAGAGTGTACTGCTACTTTGTACTCTGACTATCCACCTTTCAACCTCATTTCCCCTAACTGTGCTGGTGACTCCATAGTCTCATCTCCTTTACAGCCTCCTTTCTCACCTCTGCTGCCTGAGGCTGTCCTTCCCATGTCTTTGGAAATGTGTCCCAAAGCAGGGTACATTTATGTTGTTGCGCTGATTGGCTTGCCCTCCTGGACCCAAGCATTAACTTCCCTTTTACAGTCTCAGGACCTGCCTTTGCTTTCCCAGTAACACTTCTGTACCCTGCTTGGGCATACTCCACCTTACCCCAGGTCACAGCTTCATCTTTCTGACCATCCTTGCCACACTCCTGTTCTGTCTCTCATGATTGCAAGTGGGGACTTGGAAAATACTTCCCAGTGGCCCACCCTTCCATATCCTGTAGCTGCTGAGTGGTTCTTAGTTTTTCTACCCCTGGGTCCAGTGTAGCATACAGGTGGATTTCAAGGCTGTACTTCAGGAACCCTTTGATCCTGGGGCACAAATATTTCTCCTCCCCAGAGAATGTTTCAGCTGACATCTCACTTGTTTACCCAGAATTGTTTCTGAAAAACTTAAAAACATCCCAGACCCTGTGAGCTAAGGTAGTAATAGCCCTCAGGGACATTACCTTTAGCCAGGAGATGTGCTCAGGCCTGACAAAGCAGCTTGTAGGGGAAACTTGGGGTTAGACTTCAGACCTTCATTGGTATCATGGTATCCTGAGCATCTACCCTGTATCAGTGCTTTCCCACTGAGAAGGAGAATGTATCACCCCAATCACAGAGCTCACTAATGAGTCTGATGGTAATACTCTTAGCCTGTGGCTGGAAATCTGAAGGAACTACCTTGTGAAGTGTCTCTTTCTTTGTCTCTATACCTAGCCCATGTCTCTACATTGAAATGGCTGAAGTCCACAGGGTTGGCCACCTGATCCCACTGATATGCTCAGAGCTACACTTATTCCCAGGCTGCTGTGACAACTCGGTGGCCCCACCATGTCCAGGCGTCAGGCCCAGGAGCAGGCAGTGGATTCTGAGGGAGACTCATCCCTATACAGGAGAGACGAGGAGGGGACCCAGAGCTCCCACCGCATGCTGGGCTTCAGTGATGCACTGCTATCCATCATCGCCACTGTCATGGTCAGTGTTGGGCCCACCTCAAACCCACCCCTGGTTTCTGCAGCAGCGTCAGATGCCCAAGCCTTTCATGAAGGTGGGGCTGCCCAGCAATAGTCAAGAACCCATAAACCTCTGCCTCTGAGGATCCACAGCCCAAGAAGTATCTCTTGGTTATTTTTGTCTTTGTTTCTTTAGATCCTGCCTGTGACCCACACAGAGATCTCACCAGAACAGGTAACAGGAGCAGACTGGTTTGTACAGTGGGCCAGTAAGAAAACCCAACCTGGACTTGGGGAGCCAACCCCCAGATCTGCAGGCAGCAGAGCCCAAGGCAGAGTATTTATTGAGAGGGCAGGACATTTGTGTTTCCTCCTGGCAGAATATGCACTTAGAGTAGGTGGTGGTGGTGGTGGTGGTGGTGGTGGGGCTGAAGCACAGGCTTCTGCAAGGGAGACTTTATTTGTAGCTAGGTGGACAGGTAGTGATATCCTCCACTGAGAGGAAAGGAAGCATGTCTACCCATCCAAACCATCCTGTGTGGGTAGCAGAGAGCTTTTTAAAAGCATTTCCATTTATATCCAACTTTATGGGATTTTTTTTTTTTCTGAGTCAATAACATGTAGTTCTTTAGTGAAGCAACTTTGAGACTTGGACAGCACTGAGGTGCCTTTCTTGGTTTCATCCATGTGATTGGCATGCCACCATACAAGCCTCAAGGAAACAGGTTGTATGTAGCTCTACCCAGCACAACAGTGAGGTGTGATTCTAGCCGTACCCGCAAGTTGAGGTAGATCATTGAGGAGGTCCCAGAACTACTGAGGTTTTTCTTTTGAACTATAGTTACAACACTGGTGTAGTGTTTTGATAAAAATTAAACTTTCAGAAACCTGAGCATCAGACCACACTTGTGCTGTGCTTAAAGCTGTTCTGATGAGAAAGTACCTGCTAGTGGCTGGTACATGGCAACCCCAGGCTAGGCAAGGCTATGTAGTGAGAACCTGTCTCAAAAAACCTAAATAAAATTAAAAAGCATAGTGAGCAGATATGGCTTAGTGGTAGAATGTTTGCCTAGCCTACATGAATGAAGCTGTAGTTTTAATCCCTGGTACTGAAATTTTTTAATTTTGTTTATTTTTTTTTTGTTTTTGTTTTTTTGAGACAGAGTTTGGGTAGCCTTGGCTGTCCTGGACTTGCTCTGTAGCCCAGGCTGGCCTCGAACTCATAGAGATCCTCCTGGCTCTGCCCCCCGAGTGCTGGGACTAAAGGCCTGTGGTACCATACCTGGCTTCTCAATTTTTAAAAAAGAAGACTTAACTTCCAGGCCTGTGGCATTGCTTGTGATCAATAGCTGCTCTGGAGGTTGAGGCAAAAGATTTCCAAGTTCAATGCCAGTATGGGCAACTTAGACCCTGTCTGAAAATAAAAAGAGGAGGCCAAGTGTGGGAATGCACGCCTTTAATCCCAGCACTTGGGAGGCAGAGACAGGTGGATTTCTGTGAATTCGAGGCCGGACAGGACAGCCAGGACTATGTAGTGAGACCCTGTCTCAAAAACAAACCAAAAAGCTGGGCATGGTGGTGCACGCCTTTAATCCCAGCACTCTCAGAGGCAGATGGATCTCTGTTAGTTCAAAGCCAACCTGGTCTACAAAGTGAGTTTCTTTGAGTATGTTTAAAAAGCATAAAGCTCCCCTCTCATGATTTCAGAGGTAAGAGTTCTGCCTTGATTGAGGTTTTTTTGTTAGTACTCTGGTCTCTGTTCTAGCCACAACCCCTTAAGTGGTGTCTATGGAAGACCCATTATGCTTGTAATCTCATTGGGAACTGTTAGAGGTGTCCCTGTCCATGACTGTGCTGGATCTAACCTTGCTATAGCCTAGATGTCTATATCCCTCCAGATTTCACATGTTGGAATTTAAACCCCAAAGTGAATACTTTAGAAGAAAATTAATGACCTTCTAGAAGGACTGGATGCCTTTTTTGCCCTTTGTATCCCTTATGCTGTGACTGTTGAGATGCTTAGACTCTCCCTGGACAGAAGACCTGCTCACAGCCAGGATTTTTTGCCACTTGAGGTGATGGTGTCAGCCTGTGACACCCAGGGAATCTATTGCTTTAGGAAAACTACCTGCAAAAGACATCTTTGAGGGTGGAGGTGGGACAAGTGTAGTAGAAGTAAGATTAGACTGGGAACAGACATAGACTGTGTACACTTTGAGCCTGGTGACCTTCTCACTACGCATTAGGGTAAGTCTTGTTGAAATGACCACTGTTGGGTCATATGTGTTACTTTGTTCTAATAGCAATGTTCTTTTCATACAGCAATTTGACAAAAGTATACAGAAACTTCTAGCTACTAGGATTGCAGTCTACCTGATGACATTTCTGATCGTAACTGTGGCATGGGCAGCACATACCAGGTAGGGAGTCAGACCTTTAACACAAGGTCTTCATTGTCATGATTTGTTCAGGGTAGGCAAAGGAGGGACAGGAGGTTTCCATAGGCAGAGCTGGGCATGTTGGTGTTGCATTCCTGGCTGCAGATCAGCATGATCAAAGGAAATACTCTTCAGAGAATGCTTAAGGTACAGAAAAATCCACAGATCCTAGTAAAGATTTCACTGCTCTGTGTGTGGGGGGGGGTGGGGGTGGGGGGTGGGAGATGAGTCTGTATCAACTAGCCTGCCTCTGCCTCTTAAGTGCTAGGATTAAAGGCATCCAGCTCACTGTTCTTTAAAAGCACATTTAAAAGTGCAGCAAAATGTTTCATGTTACACACTTGTTCCCAGCAAGGTTATGCTGATAGATGGCCTTTCTGTTTTAAGAATTGAAAGGCTTTATCTTTTTGGTCTCCCTTGTTTATGGGTGCCTGCCTGCAACTTTAGCCAACCTTCCCTATACCAGCATCATGATTCGTTCATCAGGGGCCACACCCACTGTGAAAAACATTAACAGAAGGGTTCTGAGGCCCAGGGAGGCCCTTCATAGATCTGTTCTGCATCCTGCTTTGGGTGCTCACTTGGTCTTAGTACCAGCATGTAGGCAGCAGAACTCCTGTTTCTAGAGTTGCAGCCCCTTCTATTTGGCTTATTAAGACTTCAGCTCAAATGAGCCTGTGTCACTGACATGAGCTAGAGGTAGCTTCTAGAGAGAGAATGGCAGTTCAGCTGAGTCCAGGCCAAGAGAAGGCCATGTGCTCAGAGTTGGATGGGTGGCAGCCTGAGCCACAGTCAAAGACTATTGGGGGCAACCCTATTGTAGGGCCCAGGCATTGGAGGAAGCTTTAGGATTCTTGGCAGCCTATGCTCATGTTTCCATGAAGGATGGTACTCCATTTTGTTTTCTATTTATATTGTAGTATCTCCATACAAAACCATCTCTCTGTTAAACAACGACTTCTAACAGGTGCAGTGTATGAAATCTTTGGGGAGAAAAATGAGAAAAGAATATTTCTTTCCTTCAAAATGGATTTTAGATATAATGCCTAAAAAACAAGTGTATTGTACAATAGAACTCTAGCTCCACATGCCCAGAGGCTGTTTCTCACTCATGAGACAGGTAGCTTATAGCCACCCTGCTAGTCCTGCCCTTAGCAGGACCTCCCTGGACAGTTAAAAGTCCCCTGCCTTTGTGCAGAAGTCTTCCTCGAGGCTTTCTACGAAAAGACTGTCTGCAAAAGATTTCTGCGTGTGTGTGTGTGTGTGTGTGTGTGTGTGTGTGTGTGTGTGTGTGTGTGAAAATCAGAGGATAACTTATAGGATTTGGGTCTCTCCTCACGCCATGTGGGTCTGGGGATCAAACTCAGGTTCTCAGGCTTAAAAAGCAACCTTTACCTACTAAGTCTTATCATCAGTCCCACTAGGTAGTATCTTAAATTTGATCAAAAGTGACATCTTTAATGATACTTTAACCAGAAAATACTGTGGGAGCTGCATTTTAATTTTAATATTATTGGAGCCATATTTGAATGATGGCCCATCTTCTCTTTTTCCTAACTTTAGATTGTTCCAGGTTGTTGGGAAAATAGATGATACACTTGCCTTGCTCAACCTGGTGAGTAATTGTTTTGAAAAATGAGTTTATGTATGATTTAGCCCTACTGAAAGGTAGGACAAGATATGGGTCCCCACAACCTGGATTTTGTCCATTCCTGGAAGCTCCTCAGATGGCCCATGGAGTCCTTCTGTCCAGGACAGAGGCACAGGCTTCTTGGGTATATCTCACCCCACAACTCCTATAGATACATTGCTGCCTTCCTGGAGTGCCCCTTACCCTCTAGGCTTTCTGATGACTGTGACCTCCTTCCTTTCCTTTCACTGCAGGCCTGTATGATGACCATCACCCTTCTACCCTACACAGTGAGTAAAGATCATCTCCCTGCATACACATCTCCCTTGAGCACATCTGTGTATGGTAGTCCTCAGAAATGCAGGTTCAAGACCTGGACTGCAAATTACAAAGAGGAGAGAGTTCCAGAGAACTAGCGGTTGGTGTGAGTAGAGGAAGGAGTTTAGGGCTGCTGGAGGCAGAGGCCACTGAGAGTGTCCCCGAAGCCCCTTGCTTCCACCTGCCTCTCTCCATAATTCCCACTAGCAGACGAACAAGCATTCAAAATTCTAATATAGATTGTTGGCCAAAGTATACAAGGCTATAATGCAGATAATTCAGATCTGAGGGATTTTTATATGATAGTGGCTTTCAAGGCCTGAAGCAGTGGGTGGCATTGCTCTGTTGGAGAGCTGAGTATACCCATGCCCAGCCCCATACCATTGTCCCCACACTAGGACAGTTTTCTTCTCGGTGCCCAGTACAGAGACGGGGAAGCTCATTATACACCACCTCAGAGCCTAGTTCTGATAGCCTTTTGGGGGTCTTGTGGGGGTTCTTTTGACAGTTTTCTCTAATGGTGACGTTCCCTGATGTGCCCCTGGGCATCTTCCTGTTCTGCATGTGTGTGATTGCCATTGGATCTGTGCAGGTAAGGACACAGGATATGGATGTGTGTTTGCCATTGGGTGTGCAAGCCTGATCTACATCTCAAGTAGCCCAGTCTTACCCATAAATGCACCTGGGATGTGGCATATCCAAGGCCTCACAGTCTCAGAGTAAAATGAGAGTCTACCCTCTTCTCGACCCCAGCTTCTCAGAACATCCTAGGATAGGAGGCTATCTAGGAGGGACCCTCTTGCTCCTAACCCCTAAAAATGTGTATGTTGGCTCAAGGGTTAACTGATGCTCTGTCTACCTGCTGATGCCCTATAGCTTGTTTTATTGTTTGTTTGTTTTTACCACAGGCACTAATTGTAGGGTATGCTTTCCACTTCCCACACCTGCTGAGTCCACAGATCCAGCACTCTACACACAGGGCCCAGTCCCGGCGGCATATCCTGCGCCTAGTCCTCCGTGGCCCAGCACTGTGTTTTGTTGCAGCTGTCTTTTCACTCTTCTTCTTTCCCTTGGTGAGCACTGGGAACCTCAGAGGAAGTCTTAGCACAGTTGAAAAAAAGCAAGGACAGCTAACAGGAGAAAGAACAGGCAATGCTGAAACAATGTTTTTTTTCAGAGCAGGCTATGGGAGCCAGCTTGAGCAGGGTCATCTTAAGTACTATGAAAGTACATTGAATTTTAAACCAAAGTATCCTAAGAATTTTGAGAAATAACAAATGCTAGTTATTTTAAATGTTTGGTAACAGGCATGAACATGGTCACACATGCATACAAACAAAAAAAATAATAATTAAATGTAATTAAAATTAAATAAGTAAAAATTAGTGAATGTTTGGTTAGCATTTCAAGAACATTCCAAGTTTTAAACAGGTGGACTAATGAAAGCCTGTGAGTGCTGCAGATGCCATCCTTAAAGCCTTGTGAGGGGATAAGGTTCTAGCTGAGTGGGTGGGATCCAGGGAACCCAGAGACTTTAAAACTGGAATAGAACAGAACAGTGTATGGGAAGCATCTAGCCAAGCAAACCTTGGCTGAAGAGTCACAGATGAAGTGTCTTTTCAAGTCCATTCCCATTAATTTCTTAGTTGGAATGCTTACCTTTTGTTGTTGAGCTGTTACTATTCTTTATGTATTCTGGATACTAAATTCTCAGAAAGTACATGACTGGTATCCATTTCTTCTTTATGATAGTCCTTCCTTTTGGGATTTTGCCCTTACACACAGTTAATTTCCATAAAGGACAGTTCTCTGAATTTTCCTTTGTTGCTCCTGTTGCCCCTCTATCTGTGGCAGAAGAGTGGGACCAGACTTGAGGTGTGAGCAGCCCCCGTTCCCAAGGAAACACCCTGACCTGTTATTTTTTCCTGCAGTCATATGTGCTGATGGTGACTGTCATCTTCCTCCCTCATATCAGCAAGGCTACCGCCTGGTGCAAAGACAAGCTCATGGGTAGGTGACCATGCACAGCACTGCAATAAGCATGTTGGAAGGTTCCACCGGATTTCAGGCTACTCCCAAGGACCACTGAGTGGGAACAAGGCATCAATGTGTGATGCCTTCTGGGCTCAGCCCAGTTCTGGTGGTGGGTTTACTGGGCCCTGGCTGCTTCCTGCCCCTTAAACATCTCTACATCATTTCCCCTCTTGGCCTGTATATTCCTGGCCCCTTGGAGAAGACGGCAGTGATAGCCACACTGGCCTGACAGTCTCTAACCTAGGCTAGTTCCTTCTCCTGGCATGTCCACAGGCCACAGGGAGTCTCCAGCTCACAATGTGGAGCCCTTCAGTATTGATCTGCATGCGCCCCTCAGCAAAGAACGGGTGGAAGCTTTCAGTGACGGTGTCTATGCCATCGTGGCCACACTCCTCATCCTGGACATCTGGTAAGGACCCTAATTCTGCTGCTTTGGCCCATCTTCCAGGTGGTAGTATGTCCTTGAGTGTTTTGTCCTTAGGAACTCCAGAAAAGTGTTACTCAGTACTAGCTTCCCCTTGGGTACTTGCAGATTTATGTAGGCCCCCTTCCCTAAAGGTCTCCCATCCGTTGCTCTCAACCTGAAAGCACAGGTGCTAGGCTACCTTGTGTTCTCTATCCCAGAAGTATTCAGGCAGCTCCCTCAGACCTTATCCACTTCCATACTTACTAGGACTGGCTCTTGTATATGGCCTAGCTCTGATACAATACTGTTGGAGCTCTAGTTGCGTGCTCACTTTTATTTCCAAGTGTCTCCTCTACCTCCACCCACCCACCCCCCTTTTTTAAAAGCCCCTTGCTCTCCTCTGGCCTATGTTTCCTCAGTCATATTCCATTGCATACTTATTTTATTAAATACGTTACAACTCTGGTTTTATATTCTGTATCTGACACTGATTCTCCTGATACTTTTGAGTAGGTTTTTCTACTATAATTTGTGAATTCTTATAAGCTAGAAGTAAATATTCATTAGTACCTGATTTCCTGAGTTCTTAGATTTAAAGAATATTCCAGAACAATCTCCTTTTGCTTCCATTCTGCGGCCAGGGCTGAAGGACTCAGCTAAGAAGCCATGGTTGGGGCAGGAAATCAAAGCCAAGAGAAGGCTGCCACTTCCTGCCTGGAGTCTTACTTCATATGACAGCCCTCAGGCTCTTGCCTGCCCCCACCCTATGTCCCTCTTTCTGGCTGATTTGGAGAAAGCAGTGGGTACTGGGGTGTCCTGACGTTCATGTCCAGGTGATGGGTTCCCATTCCTAGACTCTATGCTCCAACACAGCCTGCAAGATTCAGGATAGCTGTGGGGGCTCTCTTTCATAGGTATCCTACCCTCAGAAGGCTGGCCCTGGCCAATGAACCAGAACTATCTGTCAATTCCTGGCTGTCAGATAGAGCACCAGTTGGCAGAGAATATACAGGACTGGTTAAATTTGCATTTTGAGTGAAGAGTAACTGTTTAGTATGCAAAATATATGTAAGTAGCACATAGGGAACATTTGTGTGCTAAGATCATGTTATTAATCTCAAATTCATTTATGATGCTTGGTAGACCCCTCTGGTCCTGCCATCTTTGGGAGGCTATTACATATGTCATCTGTTCATACTTCCCAGTGAGGACAACGTTCCGGATCCCAAGGATGTGCAAGAGAAATTCAGTGGCAGCCTTGTGACTGCCCTGGGTGCATATGGGCCACAATTCCTGGCATACTTCGGCTCCTTTGCTACAGTGGGTCTGCTCTGGTTTGCCCATCATTCACTCTTCCTGCATGTCCGGAAGGCTACACAGACCATGGGGCTATTCAACATACTGTCACTGGCCTTTGTGGGTGGCCTCCCTCTGGCCTACCAGCAGACCTCAGCTTTTGCCCGACAGCCCCGCGATGAGCTTGAGCGTGTGCGTGTCAGCTGTGCCATCATCTTCTTGGCCAGCATCTTCCAGTTTGCCATCTGGACTGCAGCCCTGCTACACCAGACAGAAACACTGCAGCCAGCTGTGCAGTTTGGTGGGCAGGAGCATGCTTTCATGTTTGCCAAGCTTGCACTGTACCCCTGTGCCAGCCTGCTGGCCTTTGCTGCCACCTGCCTGCTGAGCCGGTTCAGCACAGCCATCTTCCACCTCATGCAGATTGCAGTGCCCTTTGCCTTCCTGCTGCTCCGTCTCCTTGTACGCCTTGCCCTGGCAGGCCTTCACGTCCTATGGGAACTCCGGCCAGAGCACCTTCAACCAGACCAGGGTGAACCTGAGGCACAGTCTCAGCTTTTGCCTGCCCCCTGCTAATGCCAAGGAAGCTACACCTGCCCATCCCAGGCATACTGTAAGGGGTCCTATGGAGATGGCTCAGTAGAAGTTTATTGTGACTCTGGGGCTATGGTTTTATTGGCCTGGATATTGTGTACATTGTGAAATGTCAAGATCTATTTCAAGAGTATGAACATTGTTCACATTTTGCAATGAGAGATTTCATGGGAACTAATTTTATTACTTTTACCTATTTATTTTCCTCTTCACTCCCTGTCCCCAACACTGCTAGGGGAATTTACCTGTCTGACTAACCTGAGTAAGATGCTAGGGGCTGTCACAGAGGTCTTGTTTGAGGCAGTTAGCACCTAGCCAAGATGAGAGGACCATCCCTTTTCCTTGCTCTGACCTGCATGTGGCCACACAGTCCACCCTTCTGCTCAGAACCTTTGGGCAGTTGAGTCTGGGCTAAGTCAGGCTGAGAAGTTGCTGTCTGGTTCACATCCTCACAAGTGCAGAGTTTCCCTGGTGGGACTGACAGTTTATCTGCCCATTCCTATACTAGTAGTTGGACAAAGACAAGAGGCAGCTACAGGACAGCACAATGTATTTGGCCCAGATATAAGTTAGATCACATTCAGGTAGTGATAAATTACACACAGAGACAGGACACACTCCACAAAGGGACAGTCTCACTTAAATACAGAGGACATGCTACACTGACCACAATTTACAAATAATTCCTATAGACTGAAATAAAAGTGAAAAACTACATTGCAGTTTCTTTTGAATGTGGAAAATGATGTAAACATGAGGAACATCTATACTGAGAACACAAATGGCTACCTAATGCACTTGTATGCAGTTTTGGCAGAAGCAGGTGAGGGAGTGGAACAATGGTCCTATGAAGCTGCCAGCCAGGTAGATCCCCTGGTCCACACCATAGCCACTTCTGAGAGTGGCACAGGCCCAGTGATAACAAACAGGAGAAGGATCTAGACCCATTTACTTGTTTGTGGGGTATCACAGGACACGTCCCACATAGGTCCTCCCCCATCAGGGCTGAGGCTGGCCTCCTGAACATCTTTAGCCACCCCGCCCCCAATTTTTTATCTTTTTACTTTTCAACAGGGGCTTTAGCTCTGTAGCCCAATTAGGTCTTAAATATGCTATTCTCTTGCTTTAGCCCCCAAGAAATGAATTACAGGCATGCACCACCAGGCTTAGCTAGACAGCTTATTTTTGGACATTATTCCTCTGGGGTCTGATGAATTTTTGGGTGATGGAAGAGACAGCTTTCTCTCATTCTGTGAACCTGATGCCCCAAGCAAGGCCTGGCCATCAGAGCTGCCTTGGTTTCTGTAGGAGCCAGAGCAGAAGCTCTACATCTACAAGGAAGGGCTGCAGGCTGGCAAACAGCATGTATATAAAGTGCTATAAGTTGAGTCTAAGGGAGTTTTAACCACTCCACAACAGCCGATGTTATTTACACATTTCTCAACCAGGTACCACCTGGCCCTGTTCTGATCCCTTCTGGACACAAGGTGCCCACTCCAGGGCTGAGGAGGGACACTCAGGGCCTGGCACATACTCCAGCTGTGACACATGAGTGGCACCTAAACTTAACTAGCCTCAGGTTAGACAAAGATTCCCCTTCCTTGGTACACCTTTTCAGCTTAGGGACACTAGCTGGATGAGACCTTGCAACTAATATCTTAAGCCCAAACTGCTGTCTGGTGATGAGCCCAGGGAACTTGAGGATGCCACACCTACCCAAAAGGGGCAGGAGGAACAAGCAGCATTCTGTATCTGCTAGGCCAGGGCCTAATAGGGCTAACTGTTTTGAAAGAAAACAAAATAAGATCAGAGGGCCCACCTGGATGGCCTGCATCCAGAAGTGTTGGGCCCAAGGGACTCTTTAAGAGAGATTTCAAAGGGAGGAGTGTGACTAACCAGACCAGCTCTACTTATACCAGTCTCGTGTGGAAGACAAACTAGCCAGAGCCTTGTGTCCCTGTCGTATAGACTGGTACTGTACCTGCTCTTAAGTTTGCAAAAGACAGTGGATAAGGATGAGGGATGGAAACATCCCAAGACCCATGAAGATGCTATGGTCAATGGTATAGCTAAGTCCATTTGTTGGCAAGCCAATGTGTGACTTGGAACAGAACCAAAGACGAGAAAGGCTGGGTGGTTGAGACCCTTCATCTTGGCTCCTCTATTAAGGATTGCCCTCAGGAGCAGGCAAGGTGTCCACTCGGGTATCCCTGATGGTGCCAGCCTTCCTGGGCTTCTGCTTGGCCTTCCTCAGCATGTGAACCTGTTCCAAGGCAGGGATGGAGGGTCAGAGGGCCAGAGTGACATTACAAGTGATAGCTCTGGGACCACTGGACCAGTGAATACTTCTTGGCTCCATTCCACAAAAGAGGGGCAATGGCTTCAAAGAGCAAGCTGCTTTCACCAGGGCTTCATGACACCTGGAGTCCCAGAAGGCCAAAGTTTAGACCCACCTGGCCTTAGCTATTGTACAGCATCAGCCTACATGGCTCTAACCTTGACCCATTTTACCTCTGTTCTCAGCCTTGCCAACATACCTTAGGGGCAGTAGCAGAGATGATCATGTGCCCTGGGGCCTGAACCCAGGGCTCACCATCCACTTGTACTGGAGTAGCCTTAAGGAGTGTAACACGGAAGTAGGAGCCCTGGGCAATGCGGATTCCAGAGCGCAGCCCACCCTGGACCTGGCCCTAGGCAAGACAAAAGCTGAGCTAGCTAGTGGGGCCCAAGGGGTATCACAGGGCCTGCCCACCAGCCCGCCAGTGAGTGCTCACCATGTGCACGACACCCGTTACACCCACCACCTCCAACAGCCCGTCGTCTATGCGTGGCTTCTCAAACCTGGAGTCGCTGTCAGAGCCCCACAGGTCAGCCCCCGAGCCCCAGCTGCCCCCAAAAGATGAAAATACAAAGTTAAGCACAGACCAGACACAGACCTAGCACCTGGCCCAAACTGCAGAATCTCTGAGAGCCCAGCCCCAGCACCTGGGGATGTTGATAAAGATGAGACCCTCAATGCTGGGTAGCTCCACCTCCTGCTGCTCCACCTGCAGCCGGATCTCCTTGTGTAGGCTTCGAGAGTGGCTGATCTTCTGCAGCCCAACCCGCACATACACACCCTTGTTGTGGAACCTGCCACAGGAGAGGTAGGCATTCTGCATTACCAGGTAAAAGCTGCTGGCTGCTCTAAGTGACCTGATCCCCCAGCCCTGCCCTACTAGTACCTGCTTGTGAATTTGCCAGGCTCCTCCTCACGTGCCTGGTGGAAGTCTAGGCTGAGTTCCGCATCGATACCAATGCCACAGTAGTTACTCATCTGAACAATCTGGAGACAGGGCATAACCAGGATGCTGGCCAGGCACTCCGGAGTGTCCAAAATTCTGCCAGCCATTCCCAAGTGTCCCAAATTGTGCCAGCCATCTCTAACTCGGTTGTCACCAGTACCCTTTCCTAGTAACCTCTCTGCTTAAATGTCACAGCACCCCCAGAGAGGGCAGAACCCCACAACCCCACAGGCTTCAGTCAGCAAGCTCTTGCTCTGCCTCAGGAGGAAAGACGCACTTCAGCAAAGGGGGAGTCAAATGTAAGATCCTTGCAGGTGCCACACTGGTACCTTGGGGGGCTCCGTGTCTACCACACTGTTCTCTGTACTATCAGTCTCATGAGCATCCAGCAGGATTGTCCAACGATCCATGAGCACAGCATCAGCCTCATCCACAGACACCAGCACAGAGAATGGGTCCTCACCACTATAGCCTGCCCCCCAACGGAGGACCCGACCAAGGTCATTCCCTAGGAGACAGGAAAGACAGCATAATCCACATACCACCATGAATCTCTAGCATAACCCACAGTGGGGACAGCCCTGAGACCCCATCCTTCAAGTTGATGGCTAAGCCCACCTGTACCCAGGGGCAGGATGGCCACAGATGGCTCTGGGCAGGCCAGATGGCGCCTTGTCTCTTCCAGGGCAGCGAGCACCCAGCCCACGGTGCCGTCTCCACCACACACCAGTACCCGAAAACAGGGCACCTGAGAGAAAAGGTGGAACCTGTGTGGGAGACAGTGTTCTGCCACTACCTCCTGGCTGCCCAGGCCAAGACCTAGCCATTCATTCTTGCCCTGGGCAGCCCTTTACTTTTCAGATGTCCATCTCTGGCCACATAGAGGACTTAATTATTCCAGCAGTCCCATTTGGAGTTCCTACTAGCTAGAGACAGGTAGGGGTTGCTTTTTTCACATGCCAGAAAACTCCAGACTCACCCAGGAAGAGGGCCCCCGTTGGTCAGCTCAAAGACCTGGTGTGGATTCAGCAGTTTCCGGAAACTGCAGAGCAGCTCTCGGCCCCTGAGGCCCCCACTCTTTGGGTTCACAAACACGAGGAGGGGGCAGCAGTCGGGAGGCAGCTTCGTGTGCTGAGAAGTGGGGGACTGAATTATGTTGGGGTCAAGGTCCCACATGGGAACTGCTAAGCCATGTCCAGCCTCAGATTCCAAGCCTACTAAGCCATAGCCAGTCCTTCCTGAGGCTAAGCAGGCCACATACTTATCTCCAACTCATTACTGACCTCTCATAGTGGATATGTCCTTGGCATTTGTGCTTAGTGCTCCAAGCAGCTATGGTGGTGCTCTCAAGGGAAAAGATATTCTAACATGTCAAGAGACCATTCCTACTCTCTTATCCATGAAACCACAGGCTCCTGTGGAAATCCATAGGTCCTACCAGTCACCACCAGCCAGCTGGAGTGATGCCTGGCCCTTTCAAAGCTACCAACATACCCCTTGGGACCCGGGGGCTTCCAGATCCTACCTGCCACATGGCAGCCAAAGGGCTCAGTTTACAGGGGTAATCACACATCTCTTGCTGGTCATGGGGACAAAGTCAGTCTTCCCATATAGAATGCCAAGAGACAGTCCCTAGACACAGTAGGCTGGTTCAGGTCCCTACAGTGGTTTTGGGTAACAGGAGACACACAAGCCAGGTACAGACAAAGGGTGGACAGCAGCACAGGAGCTACGTTATGCCTGACAAGGACATACTTGACATGGGGTACTCACTGGATAGGCAGAGCTGCCTGTACTCAACACTTACTCACTTGCCCCAGGGCAGGCAGCTGATAGGAAATAGAAACTATATGGCCTCATGCTTAACTGCCACAGAGCTAGTAATGACAATACC